CCCCAAAACCCCAAAACCCCAAAACCCCAAAACCCCAAAAATATTTATAAAAATTGAAAATGGAAAAACAAGAATCTGACTGCGCCAAGAAAGCTCCAAAATCAAATAAGGAGAGATCAAGACAACACAGGCTTAGGAAGAAGAACTTTATTGAGAGAACTCTTCAAGAATGCATTCAGCTTAAGGAACAGATCAGAGTTCTGACTCTTGAGAATCAAGAACTTAGGAAGAGTATAAAAGAGAAGGAAAGTAACAGTCTTGATCAGAGGAGAGTTAACCAGAAGTCTCAGTTTGAACATCCCTTGCATGAGTATGAAGATTATGTGTTCAATACATTGTCAAAGAAGATAATTGCTAATCCTGAAGAGGTTAGGTATACGGAGCTTGAGCAAGTTACTGAAAATATTTGTGAATGGAGGTAATTGGTATCGTAACAGTTTAGTCCTCTTAGGATTGATTACATTAAAACCTGATTTAAAAGTAAGCAGTTTCTCAGACATTTTAGAAATTCTTGACAGCATGGTTTGTCTTAGTTCCAGATCTTACTATGCTTGAAATAGCGTTCTTCCTTTTAGTGGTTGGAGTGATAACTCCAATCTCAGAAAAAGAAGGAAGAAATACTTCTCAAAATCCCCTGCTCATCTCTCCCTCGAACACACCCTATCAAGCCTCAAATTCTCTTCACACTCAAAATCCTCGTTTTCCAAATTCCATAAGCCTTTAAAGCAATTTCACAAGAAATTTAAGAAAATGTACTTGGCTGGTAATCTTTAGAGCCCAGTGTCTGGTCAAGCAGAGGAATAAGCTGTTTAATTTGTATCAAGATATCAAAGACTTTGAAGAGAAATCGAGTTTTTGTGATGAATATACGAAGACTGATGTAGTGAATGATTTTGTAGTGATTGAGAAGATTAAGGATACTACATTGGTACAGAATCATGGATTTTATAATATCTCAAAGAAGGATCATTTGGATGATAGGTACCAAGATGCAGAGCTAACTGAGTAAGACTATCCTTTTCAATATCTTATTCAACCCAAGGGGTTTTGGGGTTTTGGGGTTTTGGGG